CACATTCCCTGCTCTCCACTGCAAAGGTTCCGAGCAAGATTTGAGAATACACTCAAAGTGTCTTTTGTTATTGTTTTATTTTTCTTTTGTTTTGTTTTTTTCTTTTGGAATTTTATTTTATTTTTTTGTTTAAATCCAGAATGAATGAAAAGAACATTCATCAAGGATATAGGTGCCAGACACAGGCCAACCAAGAGGGTAGCTAGAAGAGTATGTCTTAGGACCAGAAGAGACTTCATTCTCCTGTCTCTTTAAGCTATAGCTAATACAGCTGTTGTCCATTGACCTAGCTTCAGCACCTACAAACCATGGCACAGGTAGCTCAGTCATGCAAGGCCTCAGTTGAAGGACCACCCCATGTACACATATAGGCCATTCTTTATAGCAGTACACTTGGCCAACAAGGATCTACATATGGTTTTACTGCATTTCACTGTACTGAAATGGGTTTCATACCTAGAAACATGACCATTTCAGCACAAACTTGATATACCTTAATAATGATTGGTATACAGCCCCATCCCACCCCATACATGCGGCTGAAAACAACAGGCTAGTGACAATTGTCTCACTTTTGTTCATGGAATTGCATCTTTCTGTAACTACCTCTACTTGTGATATTTACTCATTGCTCAAAGACCAGATCCAATTCAATATCTGTTTGTGACGTTTCCATTGATCTTTCACCATCTCTAGTAGATATAAACTATCCTATACTTCTGAAAGAGAATACCATGTCAACCATGTCAAATGAATAGAGATGAATTAGAAGGAAAACAGATACACTCCGAATGCAGACTTGTACATTTCTCAGAGTTAGATTTTACTCCAGATTTTTGTGGGAGAAATAAGCTGAACAGTTTTTTTTTTTAACCAAATCCATTTAAATGAAAAAAAAAAACATTTATAGACAATATTTGGGAATTTGGGCATTGTTCTTTCCAAACTACTTCCTGCTTACTATGCTTCTGTTCAGGATAGTGCATTCACACCTTCCTAACAATCTTGATTGGAAAGGCAGGGGACTTGGTGGTAGTGGTGGGGAGTTAGGAAAATGGCTACTCACTTACAAATAGGGAGGAAGGATGATGCAGGTTTGTAACACCCAGTGAGAAGGCCAATATTGTACATAAATAAACACCAGGCACAAACCTATTGGGGATATGACTGAGGGTCTGGGGCAGAAGTAAGTTAAAGGGGGGGTTTCATGTGTTAGATTATTTTCCTCCTGGGAAGGTTTGTTTTGATGAGGAGGTTGCTGCAGTGTCTGAAGTTGATCAACCCAGGCCTCTCTGTTATCAGTGCAGCACACTTGCTACATTAGAAAGGGAGGTGTGATGGTGTCCCACTGGACATTTGCTTTGCCCAGTAGGAAAGAGGAAGGATAGCAATACCCTCCACAAGGTGTCCTTTGCTTTCTTAGTAGTGAGTGAAATTAAGTTGGAATAGACTTCTTTCTTCCTTCTTCTTCCTTTGTTCCTCTTCCTCTTTCTTTTCCCTTTCCTTCTCATCCCCCTTCTTCTCCCCTTCTTCTCTTCCTTTTCCTATTTCTTTTTGTAAGTTATCATCACATAGTCCTTACTGGTCTGGAACTTGCTATATAGAACAGACTGGCCTTGAACTCACAGAGATCCATTTGCCTCTGTCTACTGAGTCCTGGGATTATAGGTGTGCACCATCATACAGTAGGGACATATGTCTTATGGTTAGAAAGGCACTAAAAGTTGGAGCTAGCAAGAACACACTATGATAGTGCAAACCAGAGCTACAATTCATATGTGGCGGGGCTAGGATTTTAAACAAGCTTTTATCCCCTGCTATCAAATCACCTGCTTTTTCAATTATGATTGTGTTTCTCCTTAAGCAGGTATATCTATATCACATGGAGTTTTACGAATTCATTTTCCTGAGCTGCATCTAAACATCTGTTAATAACTTTAAAGGTACTTTATATAAAATAGCATGAAAAATAATGGATTTTACTATGATGATTTCCGTATCTATCCCTAACTTGCCTCTCCTATCTTTAGACCCTTTCCTTTCCCCACATAGATGCCATTTACTTTTTGTACATTAGATACCTCACATGAAGAAAAAATGCATTTGTATTTGTGAGTCTAGTTAATTTGGCTTTATCCCAATGATCTCCACTTCCATTTTCATTCCAGTCTCATGATTTTGTTTTTCTTCGTGACTGAGTGAAATCCCATTGTGTGTTTGTTTTCTTTCTCCATTTGATTGATAAACAACTAAACGGGTTTCATATCTAGCTACTGTGACTAGGGCTGCAACCCAGGGTGTCCTCTGTGAACATATTCAGGTGCACATTTTTATTTTATTTTAATTTTTTCTTTGAAAGTATTATTTTAATATTTACATACAATACATTTTGACCACATTCTTCCCCCTTTCCCAACTCTTCTTAGATTACCCAGAACTCCCTCTCTCCCCTCCCTCCCTTCCTTTTTTCCTTTATTTCTTCTCTTTTTCTGTTTTCTGTGAGATAGTACTTTACACTGTAGCTAAGGCTGGCCTGGAACTTCCTTTGTAGCTAAACCTATGTAGTCATGATGATCTTCCTGTTTCAGACTCCAAATTGCTAGGATTAGCAAGAGCCACCACACCCAACTTCTCAATGTTTAGTAACTATTCCTATGGCAACAAGAAAGGACTCAATTTTCCTTTTCACTCTGGCCTCTACCCATTGTGGATACTCTGAACTGTCTCGTATTACAGCATTTCAGTGTAACTAGGGTGAAAAGAAAGGGTATTGTTCTATTGCCACTGGATAAATTCCAAAGTCAAGAAAGGTCTCTGAGTGACCAAGTTTCATTTCTTGGAAGACTACAAGACAGGTAAGAATGTTTTCTGATTTTAAGCTTCCCATTGCAGGGGAATTCGAGTCTTAATCAGGCCTTTATTTACTTCCTATACTTCTCGCTGTCAGTCAGGAAAATTCTTCACCTTTCTGTATTTAAATCCTTTCTACTATATGTCAAGATCCTTCATTTCCCCTGTAGCCTCACTGGAGATATAGAAAAGCTGATTGCTATATACCAGACAAACTCACTTGCTCAATTTGAGTCCTTCTTCAGGCAGAGTGGCTTCTTGAGCTTCTTAGGGTATCTATTAGTAAAGAACTAAAAGTTAAAGTCGGCCAGAATTTCATGGGATGGCCTTCTTTCACCGTCCGCCTGACACCAGGACCTAGATCTTTCAGGTTTGCCGTTCAGTCACCACTGCTCACAATGTCTTGCTTCCTGTCAGCACATTTCTTACAGGTGTCATTTCCTTGTCCCTTAGGCATAACCATTTTTGTTGAGAATAGTACAGATTCACTTGAGTCTTAGTTGAAAAGGAGAATATACATAACATTAGGAAATTGGGACCAGATACTTATCAAAAGAAAGCTTCTTCTTTCTAGGTTTTCAATTTTATTGACAGTAAGGAATTTGTCTCATGTTATATCTGGTTCAGGTCACTAGTCTACCTAGTCACTTGCTCTACCAATTGCTTTGCTTAACTTTCAATGATTTCAATTATAAGTTGTAGTTTTAACTTCATAGAGACTGATTCTACCTTCTAGTCTTGGTTTTTTCCAGTGTCTGTGCTATCTGGAATTTTATCAGCAGTTCTATGGTTTTTTTCTTGCTTATTTAACCTTTCTTTTTAGTTCAGGACAGGATCTCTTTAAGTTATCAGGCTAGTCCCTTGAACAAGCCAAGTAGCCCAGCCTGAAACATAATTCTTCTACCTTAGGTTCCCAAAGTACCTAGATTACCATTATGCACCACTATCCATTAATTAAAAGTTTCAGAAGTCAAAATCTAGTGATGCTTATTTCTTGAGCTCTGGCTATGATGGCACCCTTTACTAGCTAACCAATGAATGTGATTTCATTTAGTGTCAGTTACCAATGTATGTTCCACATTACTGCAGCTAAAGACCCCGAAGGGTTGTAGGTTATAAAATGTGAGTCTGGTGCTCCTAGGACACAATGGTGGCAAGTAAATCCAGACTTAACAGCTGTGCTTTGAAGAGTAAGGTTTTTATTAAAGTTCTACAGGGTTTCCTTATAATGACCAAAAGGTCTAAGTCAATGGGAGATGAAGTGAATGGAGTTTTATTGATCCCTTTTCTTGTTTCTGTGAAGAAATAACTTATGAAACAGTATGCAAGTTTGTTTTGGCTCACAATTAGAAGCTGCAGCACTAAGAAGTTCCCTAGAAGTGGTTGCTGGCGTGTGAGGTCACATTGTATCTGCAGTCAGAAAGCAAAGGGAGATGAATGCAGCTGCTCATACTTTCTCCTCTTTGTTAAGTCTAGCACACCAACCCACAGAATAAGTGGTATGATCTGCATTCAGGGTAGTTCTGCCCATCTCAATCTTCCCTTGAAAGGGTCATACAGCCATGCCCAGGGGTGTGTCTTTTAGCTTATCTTAAATTCCACCAATTTGATTGTCAAAGTTAATCTTTACAGGGGCATAGACGCCAAAGACAGTTTGGGTTTTGGTTAAAATAATACTTTGAAGAAGAGGGAGTATAATACATTGTTTATCACATGAAGCATCATGTACACAGTTTGTAGCTCTGTTCTACAGCTTCATAGAGAGTTTGATGCCAGAATAGGGCTCATAGTCAGACATTTTATGACCAAGAAAGAAAATGTAGCTGTAAGAGTATGTAAGAGTAAGCAATCGACCTATCTTAAATTCCTATACCATTCTGTCTTTATGAGTTGTCCACTTCTTCATCTATCTATCTATCTATCTATCTATCTATCTATCTATCTATCTATCTATGTTTTGCACTCCACTACCTATGGAATGACACAGTAATTCTGCTGAATTGACAATATAACAGAAATGCAGCATTTTAGAAGTAAATGTCAGACTTGAATGGGGAAGGAAGAATTTAATGTGAAGAGTCCAGGGAAGAGGTTAGGATGACAGAAAAATTGCTTTATTTTTCTACCTGTGTGTGTGCTTTTCTTTCCAGGGCTGCTGATAAGCTCAGGTTGTGCATTATATCCATTAGGATGGAACAGCCCGGAGGTAATGCAAACATGCGGGAATGTCTCCAATCAATTTCAGTTAGGTAAGGTAGCATGGCCAGAATGGCAATGATGGTTTATGTGAAAACTAGCTTCAAATGTTTACCTCTTGCAGAGTCCTCGGTGACTAATGGCACTTGCCTATGTCTATCATAATGTCAGCTTGTTTGTCTGGGTGTCTGGCAATGGGTTTGTCTCGGTTCCTCTACCATTTTAAACTTCTCAGGTTGGCTTTAAAACTTTTTCTTTAATTCCCTCTGTGTGTAATTTATACATTTTTTATCCAGGATTTTCTAGCCAATGTAGAGAAAGTCACTATAGAGAAATTTGAAGTATGTGGCATGCAGACAAATTTTGGTATGTTATTTTCCATCATTTACCCGAGGAAGATTATAAATGAATGAGACAGAAAGTGAGAGATTTAGTCTCAGAATTCATATTCTTTTTCTAGTTTACTTTTGTGTGGGTAGAGAAGAATAAAAGCAATGTTAATAACAATTATGATGCTTTTGAGAACATTTTACATTTCATGCATTATATTATAACCAGTGAGGACAGCAAACAGGAAATAGAGCATAGAGCTCTTAGTTAATAGAATCATGATTTAATTCAGGTCCACATATGTTTATTGCTGCACTATTTTCAATAGAGAAGAAAGGGAATTAACATAATATCCATTGACATAAGAATAAGCAGTGAGAATGAGGTACAAAATGAATAAGCAGATCAAAATGAAATAAAAAAAATCAAGAAAATATGGCATGGAAACACAATGGATTTTTTCAGTCCTGAACATAGAACAAAATTTTGACATTTTTCAGGAAAATGGATGGAACTAGAGATAATCAAACTTACAAAGACACATATCATATACTTCTCCCTTATGCAGAACCTAGATTTGAATTTACATGTGCTGCTATGACTATGTGAATAGAACATAAAACTAAGAAGAGGATTTTCATGGGGGAAAAGGAGGTCTAAAAGGAATGAACAAAGAGCAAAAAAAAAAAAAAAAAGATAATGGGTTGTAACCTGAAAGGAGGAAACAAAATGACTGGCAGGGAGAAGGAGGACTCACAGGAGTGGGGAGGGGGGGAGGAAGATAGTGGACGAGGATATTAAGTGCAAAGTATACTGACACATACACTTAAAAAATGTCCCAATGAAGTCTATTACTTTAAATAATAAATAAATAATAACACAAGGGGAAAACACTTCAACATATTTTTTTATATATCCTGCCCTAATAACATCTCCCAATGTCTCCAGCATAGGTAACTATTACCTACAATTTAAAGGTTATATATAATCAAAATGGTGATTGTACTGTAAACTTTATATTTATGACCATATTTTATTCTTCAGACAAGTCTGTGAGTTTGCTTTTATATACTAGTATTATTTTGAGAAAAAACCTTTTATATCCTTCCATCAAATAAAGGAAGAACTGGGTATCAGTTTTAATGAAGCATTAACTGCCTTTACAGTGCTTTGAAAATTCATCATATTTTTACACAGAATCATAGACTATTGGGAAAAAAAAGAGGTTTAGCTATTATTGCTTTGGGCTACTGTTTATTCTCCTTATCCTTTATATTAAATATTAGGACCTCTGACTTAGGAGGTGATTCAATGGATAATGTGCTTTCCATGCAAGCCTGAGATATTGGGAGTTCAGATCCATAGAACCCGTGTAAAAAGCTGGGCACACCCATGCACATGTGCAACTCCAGTATTATGGACAACACATAGAGCCAAACAGATCTTTAGAGCTCACTGGGCAGTAGTTTTAGCTAGTGGGTGAGCTCCAGATATAGTGTAGAAACATTGATTCAAGAAAAGTAAGATGGAGAATTCTTGAGGATACTCCAACTATTGACTTCTCAACACAATACATATTAGCACACATTTACACCCTCTACATGAATGCACCTTTCCATGTGCATACACCATAAACACACACACACACACACACACACACACACACACACACACACCGCACAACCTCAAAAGTCCTTCACTGCCATATATTTATAGATTGATTTCCTGTGTAGCACATAACACATAATTATTTGGTCTTCTTATTTGACCACCTGTTTTCCTTAATAGAATGGAAACTCTGTGATGGAAGAGACCTTAGCTTTTTTCATAATCAAATGATACTTTTTGCATGAACAAATCTTGTCTCACTTCTTCAATTTAAAGACAAGGGACAAGAGTCCCAGAAACTGATCACCGAGTCCAAGTTTCCTGACCTCACAAACTTGCATTCTCAGGCAAGGATCCAAATGTTTTGCCTTGTTCTTGAAGGGTCAAGGATTATTGTGGTGCCAAATTATAGTGTTTTCCCTGCTATGATGAGGGGGACAGTTTCGGTGAGAGAGACTAATAGAGCACATTCTTATTTCAATTGGGAAAAGATTAGGGAAGACCTCCTTAACAAAGTGTGATTTTTTTAAAGAAGGAAGCTGAGAGATTAGTAGTATTAACAGAGGAATTTCTGTAAGAAGAGAGTTCTACACACAGAAAAAGACAATATTCTATAACATGGGAATGACTTAGATGATGGAAGATCGGTATTGCTGAAGCTGAACAGACAACTGAAGGATTATGAGCAGCATTTTGACTTTACAAGGCTTTGTGTTTTATCCTACCTACAGTGGAAATCCATTTCCTGATTTTATGAAGAGAGAGATGATGGGATTTACAGCCTAGAAAAGTGGATCTGACAGAGTTGCACAGAATACTGCTGAAGGTAGTGGCAAGAGCGTCAGATGGGAGGATAGTCTTAGACTAGGTAGAAAAAAAATTTAAACATAGGCATCAGTTATCTGAATAAAGTAAACTGATTACAAATAGAGTTGTCCCTCATCAACATCAGTTGACATACCAGCATAGATGGAGGAAATCTCACAAGGCCCCACCCTAAGATGAAGAGCTACAGGCAATTAATAGCTGTTAAAAGAGGGAGAATCCATCTTCTTTCAGGATGAGCCTTCAGTCCCAAGTTCATATACATATGAACAATACTAAATGAATGGGAGGTTGCATTTATATATTATTTCATATATATGCACGTATCTATGCATGTCTACACATAAGTATGCATAAAACAATAATCTTTTAAAAGATCATGAACTTGATAGAGGAGTGTGTGCTGGAAGACTTAGAAGGAGGAGAGTGAGGGGGAGATGATGGAAATACTGAACCCAAATATGAAAATTTTTAAATGAAAAAATACAGTTGTCCCTTGCATCCTCAGGTTAGGTTTTGTATTTTTGGATTCAACCAACTATGGAAAATTAAATTTGATAAAAATTGCACTTGTACTACAAATACACATTTTGGTCATTTTTTTCTGTTAAAAATGCAATATAGTAACTGTTTACATAAAATTTACAATGTATTATATAAGCAATCTATAAGAAATAGACATAATGTGTATACATAATGAACTAATGCAACTAAAATTTCATTTTATATCAGGGAGTTGAACATCTGCAGATTTTGTCTGGGTCCCTAGACCCAATCTCTGATAGATAGTGAGGGACAGCTGTGCATTTAAACATGCTCATTCAATGTAGAATTTGTTAGGTTTGCCATAAGAGAAGACAAGAAGTGGGAAGACAAGAGGAGAAACAGCTGTGGTTGGAATAGCAAGAGGAAAAAGGGAAACTCACTTCAGATGTTTGTAAGACATCTCTGTGTAACCTAAATGCTAATGTCAAGCAAGTGGTCTAAACATCACTGAGAAATCCGATCTCAAGTTTAGAAATTGGGAGTTCCTAGCATATACATGATACACTTCTAAGGGTAAAGGATTGTGGTAATGATGACTATCACCTTGTGAAGGTGAGATTTACAAAGAGGTGAAAACTGTTTAGCTATGGAAAATGAGTACAAGGGAAAGTTAAGTTTAAGCCCTAGAAATTCCCAACACATAAAATTGGCAAATACTATCTCCCATGTGGCATTTACTATCCACATAACCACCCTTTACATCTTCCATCAATCTTCTAGGAAAGGATTATTAGTCTGTGTCTTAGATGATTTTAGTTGTTTTAGCAGATCACCCATTAGTGGGTAATGTATAAAGACAAAAGATTCAACTGAACATATCAAGACATGATGGAAAAGCAGAAAAGGAATTGGATATGTGCAGAAGGATCATGTATAGGTGCAAGGACTCAAAGGAGCAAAGATTACTCAATTATGACAGACTGCTTTTCTATGTAACTAGTCTGCTCTTGGAAGGTCTGCAATGGTCCTTTGAAACATTATTCATCCATTTATAGTGGTGGAGCTCTCATGACATGCTAAGTAAGTCTTATTTCCTAAAGGTTCCCTTACCTCAACACTGATCCTGGGGACTATGCTTCTAGCATGATTTTCTGGAAGTCAAACAGTACCCAGACCATAGCAACTGTATTGTTTGTGTGGGGTTTGCATATACTGTCATAACCATTGTGAGCTCTTTGTATTCATTCTCAGATGCTAGATCCTGAAGTCTCCCATCCCCTTTCCACAATGATTCCTAATTCTTGAAAAGGTGATGCAGGATAAATGGTCCACTTTTAGCTGAGATTGCTACAGGCTGTTATTCTGTGTGTGTGTTTTGGGGAGGTAGACATTAAATCCTATCACTAACCAAGGAGTCCCAGTAAGAACTTAAAGAATCTAAATGCTTCTAATGAAACATAGCTCTTTTGCATGACAAGACTGCTATTTTAACACTTAATTCTCAGGTAAGTTCAGTAACATCTATAGATGAATCATGTTACTATATATTCTCATAGTCTAACTGATACACCGCATTGGCTTGTGAAGACAGTGGGATTTACAGCAGGATCTGAAGATGACTTGAGATGGAAATAGGAGGGAAATAGAAAGAAATAGCTTATTTATTATGATATATTTTTACATACATTTTAAAATTTCTTAGGAAGGTGGTCATATGAAAGTATAAATAATACCACTTTGGTTTCCTTTTCATTACTTGTGTTTGTTTTAAAACCTCTTATGACAACAAAATTTTAGTAAACTT